GCCAATCCTCCTCTTTTTGCTGAGGAAGACTGGCCCTGAGCTAACATCTATTGCCAATCCTCCTCCTTTTTTTTCCCCTTTTCTCCCCAAAGCCCCAGTAGATAGTTGTATGTCTTAGTTGCACATCCCTCTAGTTGCTGTACGTGGGATGCCGCCACAGCACGGCCAGACAAGCGGGGCATCGGTGTGCGCCCGGGATCCAAACCTGGGCCGCCAGTAGCAGAGTGCACGCACTTAACCACTAAGCCATGAGGCCGGCCCCAAGTATATTGTCTTTTAATATGACTCTCACATTGAAGGGAATGCCCAGAGCACCACTAAGTAATGAATCTAGTTTGGAGGAATTGTCATGAACAGCTGAAAACAAGTGGCTCTGAACAGATCCAGAAACCAGTGTCTCCTCACTGAGAAGCAAGTACCTCTGGGCAGCACTCTAGATGAAAATTGGGTAAGAGAAAATAATTGAGGGACTTTGGTCCCTCTAAGTCCTCTAGAAAGGTTGACAAATATGGCCTAGATATGTGTGGTGGACTTTAGATAGGCCTGGGTTTAAGCTGGACTAAACTGAGACCTGAAGTTAGCATTGGAGCCATGGGCAAATCTTATAAATTCTCTGAGCACCTGAATGCTAATCCGTAAAGTGAAGGATACATGACTCATATATTGTTTGAAAGCATTAAATTAAATATAAAAGAATTGACACATGAAGGTTGTCCAATAAATCCATCTGTGATCATAGGGATCATACTTTCTTGCTGTTGTGTGCCCAGGCCTTTGCTCAATGCCTAACACGTAATGGGCCCTCAACAAATATTTTCTGAATGAATAAATATGTGAATGAACCATTTTCTAAGTAGAAAGGTTGGGAAGTTAAACTTGATAATGGGAAGAGCCAGAAACAAATTGAATAAGGCATCTGTAATCAGTGTGGAGTCTTAGTGTCTCTGAATCAATAGTTAAGGGGTGGAGGGGGGAGTATTTAGAAGGACAGGTGATAATTTGATGGGAGGAGATTTCACGTTTTCTGATAAAACAAGGACTAACACTCCAGGCCCTACCAACCTCGTTCACCTACTCTTCTCCAACTTAGAACTCAGGAGAAAGGAGGTTGAAGTGAAGATGTACAGCCTACAAGAAAGTAAGGGCCGTGCATATCAAGAGGTCAGTGAGCCACAGGATGATGACTACCTCTGTAAGTGACCCTCTGGGCCCACTCACAAAGAAGGCTGTTATGTCTTGGTAAAATAGTTTCATCTTGTCATTTGGTCCCCAGATCATTCCCTTCCCTTAATGAATTGGAGTACAAGATTGAGGCTAAATGATATGAGTGCTGGGCTCTTTCTGAAGTTCTTTATGTCCAGGAACATGCACAATACTTTCCCTAATCCCTGTTGCTCTCACCTCCAGATTGTGAGAAATGTCAGAATTTCTTCATTGACAGCTGTGCTGCCCATGGGCCACCTACATTTGTGAGGACAGTGCAGTGGACAAGGGTCATCCCAACCGCTCAGCCCTCACTCTGCCCCCTGAGCTAAGAATCAGACCATCGGGTATCACTAAGGCTGGGCTTGGAGTATGGAACGAGGCATCTGATCTGCCATTGGGTCTGCACTTTGCCCCTATGAGGGCCAGATCACAGAAGATGAAGAGGCAGCCAACAGCAGATACTCCTGGTGGTGAGAAGCATATACCTCTTCCCCTGTCCTCTGGCTTCCCACATCCCTTCTGTGGACTGGTGGGACCTCACCTTCTACATGCTAGGTCGTGGATGGAGATAATATGGTTAGTTCTGTGTACTGAGTGGACTTGGCACGAACATGGAACTCCTATTTAAAGATCAGAGGATAAGTAGGAGTACAGCAATACAGACACAAAGAAGTGGCTCCTCCCTCACGGGACCCCTGCCCTGAGTGGACAAATCAACTCAGACATATAGGTGATGACCAAGGAGCATATCCCGTGGTCACAGTTGGTGATTGAATCCATGCAGGCTGAAAGAGTATTGATGACAGTAAAGTAAAATAATTTTTCTGACTATTACCTCCCCACCAAAAAAAAAGCCTTTAACTTCTTTTTCTGAAACCCAGATCACTGCTATGAGTATGTAGATGGAAAGGATAAATCTTGGGCCAATTGGGTGAGGTGAGGCCAGAAGGTTTCTGGGTTCCAGAGGGGACATTCTCTCTACAAGCCTTACAAAGACAGATATTCCTTTCCTTCTCATCACGCCTCCCTCTATGGTTTTTACATCCTCTGTTCCTCTTTTTTCTCCATACAATGCTCTTTCATTCCAACAGACATTTAGAGAAAAAAAGAGATAAAAATATAGTATATGTCCTCAAAATATAAATCTTTATGCTAGACAGAATTTGGAGACTAGAAAAAACCTTCAGGAACCTGAATTTACACTTTATCTAATCAGCATTCATGAAGCACTTACTATGCTCTAGTTTAGACAATGGAGTTCATTACTTAAACAGATCACACAACCTACGTCCTTATGGAGGACTTACTGCAGACAGACATTAAACAATTGATTTTAGGAGTATTTAACTATAATTTTCTTATTTCTTGAGAAGTACGCAGTGCCAAGATCACTTAAAACAAGGAACCTTTAATCTGTGAGGGCAACAAATCTTCCCTCCTGGGTTCTAATTAGACCTGGGTTCTGAAGCCTGCGTAGGAATGAGCTGCAGTGTGGTCCTGGGCCTCTGTGCTTCATTACCCAGCCCCTTGCCATGAGGGGCTCTCATTTTATCAGGGAATACGGAATGTGAATAAACTATTATTGTTCTGGGGTCAGCCCGGTGGCGCAAGCGGTTAGGTGCGCATGCTCAGCTGCGGCGGCCCGGGGTTCGCCGGTTCAGATCCCGGGCGTGCACCAATGCACCGCTTGTTGGGACATGCTGTGGCGGTGTCCCATATAAAGTGGAGGAAGATGGGCATGGATGTTAGCCCAGGGCCAGTCTTCCTCAGCAAAAAGAGGAGGATTGGCAGATCTTAGCACAGGGCTGATCTTCCTCACACACACACAAAAAAAACTATTATTGTTCTGTGTTATTGTGCTAAGGCAAAGAGACCTCTAAGTTTCTATGGGAACCTGGGGGAGGCAAGTGATGGTACCTTAGATAAAGTGTGAGGAGATTGGAAAAAGGCTCTCAAAAGAAGATAGACTTGGCCTGAGTTTTGAATGATGTGTGCTAGTCTAGAAGCAGAGGTCATGATCTAGCACCGGGTTCTGTGGTATAAAACAGAACTTAATTTCGAGTTTAGAGAAGCTACGGGTCACTGGGTTTTAGGGCCAACCAAGGAGGAGGTAAGTCTGGAATTGGGCCTTGGAAAATGGTTAATTAGGCAAGGAGGGAAAAGATTCTAGGCAGGATGAGCACATAAGCAGGACTTGGAGACAGGAATTCACATGACATTGTGAAAGAGACTTAGGTATGAACAGAAGATTCCCTGAGGAGTGGTGGGGGGTGTGGATAGCATCAGAGCAGAGAGGCAATAAACATCAGATGAGGAGTTGGACATGGATCTACAGGTAGTGGGAACTTATCACCTGTGATTTTCTGTCCCTTTGCCCGCCTCAATCCCAGGTACGTGAACTGTGCGTGGGATGATGGGGAGCAGAATCTGGTGGCCTTTCAATATTGCAGGCAGATCTTCTACCGAACTTCCCAGGTTGTCAGGCCGGACTGTGGACTGCTGGTCTGGTACAGAGACAAGTACGGCCAGGAGCTGGGCATCAAGTGGGGCAGCAAGTGAAAGAGAGAGCTCAGGGCAGGCAGAGGTGGGCACCACTGCTCTTCTTCAAAACAGAAGGAAAAGAAAAGATTCTCCTTGGCAATTGTTATGGTCCAACTCTTAAGTTAAGTAACATCCAGTCTAAAGTCAGTAAACTTTCAATTCAGATGCTTCAGGAATTAATGATACATTTACTATGCCTTTGACTTGTCAGTGCAAATCACCAATAACCATTCTATAGATAGGAGAGATAAGATGAGTTTTACTTGAGCCAGGGTGAGAATTATAACCCAAAAAGGCAGTCTCCGCAAAGGAAAAAAGTTTTCCAGAGAAGCATGGTTTTCAGTAAAGTCTTATACATTTTTAGAACAAAGAACATACATCAAACACACCCAAGATACGTAATCATCAAAGTTTCAAAGAGGTATTCAGTTGCAAGTTAGCAGGTCAACATGACCCTGATGTCAGGGAAAGGAAACTTATCTTGAAGAGTCTTAGGAAGGAAAGTATGCATTCTTATCTTCAAAGAGTCCATTCTTTTACTTTGAGGTAATGTTTAATGCATTCTTTACTTTAATGGTTAAAGCAGATATACAATATATTTTTGATAGGCCATAAGTCAGCCTTCTTTAGCTCAAGCCAAATTAGTTTTAAACCAGAATAGCTACCCCATATACCTCAATATGTGAAAATTTCTTGTCAGACTCTTAGGAAAAATTTTTATATTTTTTATTTTTGTTCATGCACAAAATATATAACAGCATATAGTGATGAAAGGCTTAGAGGCAAAAAACAAGTTTTCAAGCACCAGCCAGCTCTCTCACCAAGGCAGTTTCTTCTGGCTCTTTTAGCTGTTTCTTCTGATTTCCTCCATGTTTCTAAATGATATGCGTATGTTGATATGTGTTCATTCATTATTTCAGTTAGTTGTCGCGTGAGTTCGTACTTTGTGCCAGACAGGGTTCCAGAAACTGGAAATATAGATTGAACAAGATGATCAGAATTACTGCTCTTGAGCAGCTGACCATACATATGCATGCATATGCATAATATCAGACTAGTGCTTTGAAGAAAATTAGTCCAGGAAAAGTGCCTAGAGATCAATGTGAGGGGAGGGTGGGGTGTGGCAGAGGATGGTCAGGGCAGGACTCTCTCAGGAGATAACATCTCAGATGTGCAAATACCTATGGGCAAAGGATTTCAGGCAGAGGGAGCAGCTACTGCAACAGCCCCAGGGCAGGAAAGAGGTGGGGTGTTTGAGGACTGGCTGAGAGACCACTCAGGTGGTAATAGAAGGAAGCACAGAGGGTAAGAAAGGAGGTTGGATCAATAAGTAGAAGCCTTACAGCCTATGATCCATGCTAAGGCACTGAGGATTTTCTGAGTGAGATGGAACAATTGTGCAGTTTTCAGCTGGAAGTGGCATGTTCTCTGTTCTAAGATGATGCTTTGGTCAATTTTTGGAAGGTGGACTGCAGTGGGAATCCCCTCAGAGATTACTTCATCTCCAAGTAAGAGAGGATGGTAGATTGGCTGCAGATGGATGGGAGGCGGGGGTGCAAGAAGTCTGGTTGAGTATATGGTTTGAAATAGGACTTCCTATTCAAGACTAAGACTGAATGAAATAAATCAAGTATGAATACTTGGTGTGAGGCTTGAGGAAGGATATACTTTCATTTTATGATTTGTGGGAAAGTGAGAGAGAAGCAATTCATGACCTAGTCAGGGCAGCAGGTCCAGCAGGTCCGCACCAGAGTCCTTTAGTCAGTGGGACCTGGACCACTCTATCTTGTCCAATCTGATTCCCAGTTCCTGATGGAGATTCAGACACATAGGGGTCCTCAATTAAATATGTCTTTTTGAATGGGAAGACTCAAAGTCAGATTTACTCACACACACTCTCTTTAACCACTACTCTATCCTGCCTTCCACATTTGTAGGTCTCCAGGCTGAGTGGCTCCTAACTCAATAGATCCCTTTCCCTTCATAGGAAGTCACTAAGGATGATTCCACTTAAGTCATCAAGAGTGTTGTTATCTCTCAATAGAATAAAACAGCTGCAGACACTGTGTCACACAGTGAATGACTTCGAAGGTGCTTATATATGGGGAAGGTTACTGCAGTCCCATCTATAGAGTGAAGCTGCCTCTGATGCTAATTGAAGGTCCCTAGTCTGGGCATTATGTAGAAAAGGCCATTGATGTGGCCTTTCTGGATTTCTGAAGAAGATGTAGTGAATTAAAAGGAACGGAAAAATAGACTGTAAAGGGACACTTGGTGGGAAGCAGAGCTTACATTGTCAACACAGCAAGAATGATCAGTGGGGCAGGCCTTACCAGGAAACACAGCCCAGGCAGCCTTGTCAACGTCTACCCTGACCAAAAACTTCCTCTTTCAGCAGAACCAAAGCCAGAGATCCATCCATGTCCCTCCTGCTCTCTGGCCTCCACTCAGAAATTCCTATCCAACAGGTGGAACGCAATCACCCCTCTCAGATCCTCCCAGGAACATCTGCAAGAAAACACCTCCAACCAGAGGATCCCTGCCCAGGCAACCAGAATCAGCAGCAGCAACATTCTGATCCACACAGCTGGAAGAACAAAGCTCAAGGTCAAGAGGTCAAAGAAAGTTCCAAACCTTTGCTTAAAAAGATAAGGCAGAGAAGGATTTCAATGAGTGCAGAAATAACCAGTTAAACAAATCCTCCACTTGCATGACAAGACATGAGGTAGACAAACAGGGGAGGGTTCCTTAAGTGCTCTGGGGGTGTTGATACCAATCCCCTCCATGGTTTTTGGCCTCCTGTTCTAATAAATGTTGTCTTCATACAATGAAGCCCAGACCACATACCTCATTCTCCTCTTATCACTGAAAGCAGAGGGTCCAGGAGGGCCACAAAGAACTCATTCTCTTAGCCCAGCTCTCCACAGGAACTCAACCCTTGGAAGTCTGGCATTAAGTCTGGAGTCACTCTGGTTAGGTTATGGGAGAATTGATTCCTGGGCCCAGGCAGAGAAATCTAGGATTTGAGACAGACTCATCAGAGAAGATTATTCCCTGGTCTCTGGAGAAGTGTGGCCTTTTCTCCTAATAGGTCCCCCACCCTCCCCCCTTGGTTTCTCCAGGCTCCTCTCCTGGTTCCTTCAACCTCTGTAGCCTCAGAGGTGAAAGCCAGGGAGGGATGCGTGCACATGCCTGTGTATGCATGCATGTGTGTGTGCACGTGCATGTGCCTGGCTCAGTCTGGGGCATCTGGTCTCCCTCACTCTCTCCTCGCTGTTCTCTCAGGATCAGCATCTCCTGGTGCACAGCATATGGACTCCAGATCAGACCATAGTGGGTTTGATTCTCAGCTCTACCCTCATCAGCTGTGTGACCCAGGGCAAGATCTCAACCTCTCTGTGCCTATGTTCTAATCTATAAAGCGGGGATGGTAATCCCAGCCTTCCGGTTCGATGTTCAAAGTTAAGAAAGCACAGGCAGAATCTGGCACAGAGGATAGCTGAGAATGCAGGTCCCTCCCTCCTTGTCATTCTCTCCCTGCACAGCTTTCAATGCCCACGTCTGCAGTGCTGGACAAGGGAAGATAAAGAGAGGGTAGGGGCCTGGGAGCCAAATTCAGAGATTGGGCAGACACCACTGCTTTCTCTGCACAGACTCAGCTATCCTGAGAAGGAGGTGTGAGGTCAGGGATGCAAGTGTGTGGGGGCACCTCCCTCGGGGCTAGTACCCTTCCCACTGAGCCTGGGCAGCCTCAGAACCTCCCTTAACATGGGCAGGCAGTACTGACAATAACCTGTTGTTATGAGAGGTTCAGGGATTCGATCAGAGACGTAAAGAAACTTTCCACTCCAAACAAATGGACTGAAGGTATATTTTATTATATAGAGAATAGTAAAGGCGATAGTCTGCAAACAGATCCGAATAGGTCAAATAATAAGAGGGAAAAAACACCAGCTCGACTAGAAAGGGAAAACATCCACATCGGCTGAGATGGCAGCAGATTCGAATAGGTCATATAATAAGAGGGAAAAACATCAGATCAATCAGAAAGGGAAACACCAGATCAACTGAAGGGAAATGACACAAATCAACCGGAAAGAGAAACACCAGGTTGACCGAAAAGAGAACACATCAGATCAATTACTTCACAATAAATCAATTACTCACAACATCCACGCCCCACTGCCGGGAGAGTCCTGTCAATCCACACGGCTGTGCAAGGATCACACGTCCTGGGCAAGGCGTCCCTTCCACAGGTGGAACTCTCACCAAGTCTCAGTCTCCAGCAGTTTTTATAGCATCAATAATTTCCAGAGTAAGCAGTTACAGAGCTTTTTTCAGAGCAAGCATCTAGTGTTCCCATGCACAAATGGTTATCAGTGGCTATGTGCACTGAGCCCCACCTCCCAGCTGTCGTCCCAGCCCAGTAGTTGTATACGTGCATTGTTTACCTTGCTTATCGTCCAGTCTGCCCCAGGCTGCAGCACCCGAAAGGCCTTGAAATTTTTACACATTGCAACTATCTCCATGGGAGAAGGGCCAGTTCCCACCACGCAGAAAGCAGCTTTTATATTTCTTTTTGTGCTGGTGGCTGTAGGTCAATGGAGCGGCCAAACATGGCTGTACTCATGTCAAGACACCTGTGAAACAAGCCCCTCACCCAGCCCTTGCTGAGGACACTCTGGAGACAGCACCTGCAGGACTCAGATGTACGGTAAGCGGATCTCCGAGCCCCCTCACTGCCTCATCTGCATACAGTGTTCGCATAGTGCACAACACAGCGGCTTCTATAACATACTTAGCTTGTACCTGGGCCAGCATGGTTTAATGCACCGCTGTTGCCATCTTGAAATTCTTAATTATTTTATCTTTAAACACGTTTTGTAAGTGAAGTCTGATGAGACAATGGAGCATGCTGTAAGCAGAGCAGATATGCTCGATGTTGGTCATTCCTGGCCACCTATTCACATACGGTGTCCACAATGCCCCAGGAGCACAAAATTCCCGTGGACCCAACGGGGTGGGAATTCAGCAAGACTTAAAGTGAGGGCAAGGTAAGCATGTTACATCTACCACTGGGAAAGTGAGGGTGCTGACAGCTCCAAGAGGTCATGCTCTTCTTAGAGCCAGAACTGACTTTGAATACAGAGAGGAGCAATGGTGTTCTAAGAGACACAATCGGTGAGGACCCCTATCATATCCTCTCCTACGTGAGCTACCTCCCTGCTTCTGAGGGAGACCTAAGCATTTCTCAGTCCTGTTCCTGCTAGGATGGGTTCAGGACAGCCGAATTCCAACCCACCCCCCTTACAGGAGATAAGGAAAGGAGTGTGGGCCACCCAGGGAGACACCTAAACCCCATGACCTGGAACAATGACTTTCTGTCCATCCCCCTCTGCCAGGCTAGTAAAGAGTCTCTGCATGAACTATGTGGATTTCAATAATAAATATCCACTATTATTTTCTGTTTGCTTTCATGCTTTTTTAAAGGAAGGTGTGTCCATGGTCTTGTTTCCCTATGGGAAGAGGAGAGGGGACGATTCTTTTTCAATATTCTGTGGCTTTCAGCCTGAGCCATGAGAGAGGGGGCAGAGATATAGGGTAATGTTGGCAGAGAAGCTTGAACTGAAATATAGTGGGAAGGGGAACCCACAACTGCCAGGTGATTGTTACCTGCGTCTCCCACAGGCACTGACCCCGAAACTCACCTGGAAGGCTGAGCAATTCAAGATGAGGAGTAGAGAGAAATCAGTTCCCTCTTGCTCCCCTTCAGCCACAAACTTCATTCCTAGCATTGCCGCCAGCCTCCAAGATGGCCCCCAAACCCACCTCCTGTTATCCACACTCTTGTACAGAGTGTGGATACTCTTGTACTCTTGTACTCCTCCTTCATAGAATAGGGCTGACCTGTTGTGACAGTGATGGTGAAGACTCCTAAAACTAGGTCATAAGAAGGCATTTCAGCTTCAGCCTTGCCCTCACTGTCTCACACGGTCTCAGATCACCTTGCGAAAGGGAGCTGGCTGTTCATACACCCCTCCTGCCCACCTGTCGGCTGCTGGCAGCCACAATCCTCATTTTGAAGAGGAGGCTCAGAGGAGTGAGTGCTGCCTGACCTCCACTGGATTCCAGTCTTTCTTCATGACAGGCAGGTGAGAAACACCTTCAGCTGAGGCCACTGTCCTGTGCCCGTGACACCTAGTGGGCCTCCAAGGCCACTCCAGCTACACCAGACTCCACAGGGTAGGTCAGTAGTCCTTGGGCAAACAGGACATCAGCAGCTGAGGTGACAGGATGGCACATGTTGCGTGACAGGCCAGCTGCCTCCATTGCACGCTCCACTCTGGGACTGCAGTGGCCCCCACAGCTGTGACTGGCCCCATCTGCTTTCTGCTCTGCTTGTCTGCCATCCAGGTAACGATGCTGCTGGCTTGCTTGAGGACCATAGCTGGGCAGGTGAGGGGGTCACTCCAGGACAGTCAGCCAAGAACCCAGAACAGCAGAGTACCCTCCACAGCTGGGGTCCGGCAAGCCTGGCCAGGGGACGAGCAGCACGTGAGGGTAAACTTGTCCGAAATTTGGTAAATTTGTCTTCGACTCCTGGACTCTGCCCTGTCTGGCTCCAGGTCCAGCCCCGGTCCTATTAGCCAGGCCAGTATCTGACCCAGACTCCAAGAGCCACCTTTGGGGAAGATGTCACCCACAGACACTGTCTTCCCAGATCAGACTTCTTAAAACTTACAGAAGAAAGATTTCTTAAAAATAACTCTTTTTTTAAAAGTAGGAGGTTGTTACTCTCACCACCCAGAGAAAGCTCCTGTAACGTTTTGAAACATGCACTTTAAGATCTTATTTTGCAAGCTCTCATACTTAATGGCAACTACTTTATTGTTTTTTTCTGATAATATGCAATTGTTGTTAAAAAAAAAAAAGAAGTTTAGAAAATATATAAAATAAAAACCACCCCTAATTCCATAATCCAGAGGGAACAACAGTTAACACAGCGAGTTAGAGCTTTCTATTAATTGCACACAAATATGTGCACCCACATGGACATGCTTGCACGTTTTTCTTTTACAAACACTGTTGAGCCCCCATCTTACTTTCTCACCTGCCTCTTTCCCTTTACAAAGTATCTCGAACACTTTCCTTTCAGTTTTCACAGTTACATTGTGTTCCCCATCCCGGGGTTGGGCTGTGGTGTAACAAACTCCCTTTTGTTGGACATGAGAGGTGTTTCCAGAAAGAGTTCGTATACCAGATCTTGGCCTAGTTTTGGTACAGATTTAAATATGCAATGCATTCAGAGCTCAAGAAAATTCCCCAATTTCCTGGATTTTGGGAGAAAGCATATGCTCCAACCCCACCCCTCCCAGATGTCTTGGGGTCCTCCCTCTCAGCCTTCCCCTCTCCAGAGGAAGGTGTTTGGAAAACCTTGAGGCCATGGCGGGGGTGGGGGTGCGTGGTTTCCTGGGGAGCAGAGGAGAAACAGGACACTGACTGGTGGCACTCAGGCTGGAACATGGGCATTGTCCAGGCCTGTCCTCTGTGTCCTTGTCTTACTCCTCGTTGTCTGTGGCATGCCTTCCAATGAGGGGGCTCCAAGACACCTCAGGAGCTCCAGCAGGTCAGTGTGGTGTTTACAAGCTTCTGACCTCAGAGTAAACAGCAAT